TGTGTTAGACTTTGTAAAAAAGGCATACTTTGACTACTTTGGGTTTCCGTTGCCATCAAACGCTAAACCTTTGATACCAATTTTGTTATGTAAAAGTTGTATTGAATCTTTGCATTTATTGGCAAACAAAAAAAGACCAAATTTTAAGTACAAATCTCCCATGATATGGCGTGAACCACCCAACCATCATAACGACTGTTATTTTTGTGTAACGAAAATCATAGGAATAAACCATAAAAATTGCTCTAAGTGGATATATTCAAACTAAAAATCTGTCGTAAGAACAGTCTTGAGTATTAATGACACATCAACACCACAGCAGCCTTGTAGATATTCGGAAATCCAGACCAGTGCAGCGGACAAACCGAAACGACGACAGTGGTAGAGACAATAGTCCCCTATTACTAAATAAAGAGGATCTAAGTGACTTGATCAGGGATCTTGGCCTGTCTAAAAGTTGATAGATGATAAAAATTTCATCAACCATATGACAGCTATTGAGAAATGTGCATGAGAAGAGTTTGTCTGAGTAGTGAGAATTTTTTTGAGAATACTAAGTCTGACGGCTACATTCAGCACGTTGAACAGTTGCTGATACACTTCCAGCGGCTTGGATGCAACATGACTATTAAGCTTCACTATCTTCACAACCATCTAGACTATTTTCCTGAAAATCTAAGTGACCTAAGCGAGGAACAAGGAGAGCGCGTTCAACAGGATATTCGCTCTATGAAGAACAGGTATCAGGGGTACTGGAAGGAATATATGATGGCTGGTTATTGTTGGAGCATTCAAAATAGTACTCATGATACATCTCACCCCAGAAAATCCACAAAAAGGAAATTTTATTCAGACTAAATATATTTAATAATTTTTTTAAACTTAAATTTTGTGCATTTTTAATGAAAAACCCTGTCTCTTCATAACTCCAAAACTAGAGCTGCTACATAAAAACGGCATATATTTTTGAAATCAGCACGGAAAAACTATTCAGATTCATGTAAAAAATCTCATGCAACAGACATGCTGTTTTCCAGTGTAATTATTCATTACCATTTCCGGATTTGCTAAAATAATCTTATTTATAAAGTATATTAAAATACAACTAATATTTTTTGGAGTTCCTACGCGTTTGTAATTATTTTTAAGAACATTCCCGAAGTTGCGGTTACTTCGCAGCAACGATATCTAAAAAAAGTTGTTTTATTTCAATGAACATTCACAAAAATCTTAGATCTCTTTGAAATATAGACCTTTGTTGATTTGTAAATATTGTAAAGAGCATTCGTGATCGTAGTGTCAGTTTGTTGGGATGCATTTATAGGGACAGCATTTCTCATAAGAAGTTAAGTTTGATTAAATGTCAAATGTTTTAAAATAAACTACACATCTTCAAATATATCAAGCATTGTGCAAAAATGTATTTGACTCAATTATTTTTACATCGAATCGAAGAATTCGAAGGCTACACACTGTTTTAAAAATTTATTATCATCCACGACGAAATATGCATAGTTCATTGTTAGCATCTTTAGTTATGCTTGTGAGTGTGCCTTATCTACGCTGAAAATTCAATGATGTTTAAAGCCTGCAGCAATGTTGCATGTAAGCTGCTTAGATCCAGAGTGAACAACAAACTCATATACACACACTTGGCTTCAAGTATCTATTCCATAGACAAACATACATTTTAAACTTTACGATATACGCGCTGAATATACTTGTTTCTTGCATGCTGAGTAGACTACAATGTTGATTATATTCCTGTTCACTTTTTATGTAAATTGAAATTTGAATGGTCAATACTTATTAAAGCTGTTTAGTCCTTACTGTCAAAATTACGACACCTCTCGAAATAAAAATTACTATAGGTACTGGATTGAAATTCAATTTGCGTTTATATTAACAATTGACTTATCAATATGTTCATCGTGTTGATTTAAATGCATACCTATCTATCAAAAATTTAGTCTTAGAGTTATGTGGTACATCTGAGTTAGGTATTTGTAAGTTATGCTATGCATAACCGAAAACTATAACTCAATTCACACCAACAAGCCTCAGAGCTCCATTCATCTGTAAGTTCTCAGCATTTCGCATTGTAGATAGCGTCACCAGTTAATAACAATTTATTTAGCTCATCATTTGTAAATTTCACTTAAAATATTTAACGTTTCATTATAACAATGAACATTTAAATGTTTATGGGACTATCAGAAACTGCCTTAAACGTTAAAATTACCGTTACTTTATTCTCAATTTGATGGATCCAGAACATTGTTTATGATCGTAATAAAATCGAAGATAAAATCATATTGAATTGTTAAAATTATATTGAATGTTCTCCAATTGTTTATTTATTATTGTTAAAATCGCCGACCAACTGAACTGGATGTTTTACATCCTAATAAAATTGTGTAAATTAGAATGATTGTTTTCATAAAATGTATATTGATTACTCTTTCAAACGTAAACTAAAAAAGCTTTTGAAGAATTTAACTAACGGATTGTAAACCTCTTGAAAGAAAAACAATCCTTATAATACAACTATTAAAGCAGTCTTGATTGAAGATAGCCTTATTTGAAAAGAAAACTTACTACAATTGGCTAATCAGAAACAGAATTGAGACAAGGGAAACTAGTTTATTACAAAAATAACAATTTATTACAAGACTAATCTTTGTAGTTTCTATATTTCTGTCATTTTTATTTTACTTATGATCCTTTTTAAGAAGCAGTGTGGTCGTTACACACTCGTATGTCTCCACAGACTTATCCGAATAAAATTTATTGGATTGATTACATATATTACACGTTTAATCTATCTATGCATTTAAATAAACTGAATATTTTTCTTTAATATTTATGAGGCTTCTATTAAGAGAAGAACATTTTTAAACGCTAATATAGTACTATTGTTCAATAAGTAGTTTCATATCTTAACCCCTTAAGATATTAATTTAAATTGGCCACCATTCTTCATACCACATTTATAGGATTGTACATTATAGTAGGTGAATTTATATTAAGATCAAATTAAAACCCAAATCAAATGTTTTTCTACAGAAACGAAACCCTCGGGGTTTTTTTTATGATAATATAAACAGGGAAAAGGAAAGGCAACAATGAGTCAATACCGTTTTCAATGTATTGAAAGAGCGATCTTAATTCTAATTAATGTATTATTCTTACGAAATTACTCATTCAATACATTATTGCTTGCCAAATTTTCGTGGAAAATATTCTTAAATATACAACGGCAAAATGTTTAAACTAAACAATTTGACCTGGCTAAATAAACAACATAATATAACGAAATGGAATCATAGTAATTTATCTAGATTAATTCGTGGAATAAGAAATACTAATCATATATTAGCAATAGGTAAAGTAACATTTTAAATTAATAAAACATAATTGAATTATGTACTTACTTAACAGTTTTCTGTGTATATAAGTCATTACAAGAATCGTTTTATTTGTGAACTAGAACCGAATCTGTTATTGTGTATATTAAATACATAAGATACATTCTGCAGGTTCTAATAAATGTATGCTACATACGAACACAATATTTATTCATTATTAAAATCTTTGTTAATATAATGAGTATTCAAATTGATACAATTCAATAATAAACTCTAACATATGTATATCCAGTAACTTCACCCCTAAACTTGGAGCATTGGTAATTATTATTCATAAGTCTTTCACTGATATTATAGTGTAGGCTTATGGATAGAAAAACTTTAGGTTCCGAATTTGATTTGACTCTGTATGGCAAGGTATCTGTATGGCAAGATTATTATCAAGGTTGAGTAACCTTAAAAATTTGCCTATCAAATCTCACCGCCGTATTAAGTAGTGAGACAATACATATAGTAAAAAATTATTAAATTAAAGTTAAATGTAAATATGTATTTAAAATTTCTTAAACGGGTGTACTGATAGTCAAGTGTCGTATAAAAATTGTGTTTACTTTATCTTTAAAATGCAGCTCTTTCTTAGTTATAAATATGTGCACAAACGTGACAGAAAAATAATCTTTCGTGTATATAAAATTACAAAACTGAGTATACATACAGTTAAGTATGTATTTAATATTATTCATTACATTCTCTTAGTTTTTATGAAATATAATTTTAAAACCACGAATAAAAATATATTAATCACGTGAAATTTAAGTAAATTAATTTGAAACCATGACAATGATTTCACGATCTTCCTTTTAATATCTATCCACGTTTCCTATTCTTTTAATTAAACATGATAAAAGAAGTAACAACGAAAGTGATCAATTGTTACAGTAAAGATGAAAATGCTACTTTGTTAAAAAAAAATTAATAAAACTTATGTTTTTTTTCATATTTCTATAATTGTGACAATTTATTACTAGAACAAAACACGCTTTGTTTACGATACGCTAAACAATATTGATGAACACTGTTAGAATCTTGGAGACGCATACAAAGTTGGTATAGTGCTTGCAGCTAATTGGATTATGACCGTCCATCTCAAGGAAAACAGAGGAGAAATTATACCTGAGAGGAATTAAGAGAGTAAATACAAAGTTATATGATCTAAAATATATATGGGTAGATATATACATACTTCATGTAATTAATTTTAAATAACATATATATGTGTATTTTTGATTACATTTTCTTCTCAGAACTTTCAATTTTACATTTAACTGATGAAATCAATGAATGGTTCCATAGTTTTGTATCTATATTAAGTTTACGGAAAGGTTGAGCATAATGTATTTATAAATTACTAATTACTATATACATGTCATAATTACTGAGTTGGATCTGAATTCACTCAAGTATTTTTATATAACAATAATTTATTATTAACATAACAATATATAAAATTTTAATTCGTGAAACTATATTTTGGAAACGGATTTTATATTTTGTTTATAACTCCTATTGAATATGATATAGATCTACATCATATGTTCATAGATTTCAAGCAGGCCTTCGATCTTTGATGCCATGAGGGTGCTGGGAATCCCAAGTAAACTAGTGCGCCTGGTTGAGGCTACTATGTGTAACTCCAAATCGGTAGTTTATATACAAAATGACATATCGGACCCATTCGAAATACGCTCAGGAGTAAGGCAAGGAGATGCCCTATCTACTGTTGTCTTCAACCTTACGCTAGAGGCAGCCATCCGAAACGTAGGAGTAAAAGGGCTCTTAGACTATAACACCAGTCAGCTAGCCGCCTATGCGGATGATATCGTTATCACAAGCAGGTCTCAAAGCAGCATGATCAGACACACCACAACTCTCCAGATGGAAGCGGCAAAGTATGGATTGATGGTTAACGCAAGCAAAACGAAGTACCTTCATACGAGTAGCACGCGCAACCCTCGTCCACTACAGGATGTCACCATTGGGGATGATACAATTGAAGGAGTCAACAGCTTTAAGTACCTGGGGTCGATACTGTCCAGCCGGAATAAGGTTGGAGTTGAGGCGAATGCCACCTATGGGTGTGAAGCATGGTCACTAACAACTTTGGAAACCCAAAAGCTCGCCGTGTTTGAGAGGAAAGTTCTACGCAAAGTGTTTGGGCCAGTGAAAGACGCAGACGGTGACTACCGTATACGCATGAATCACGAGCTGGAGGCACTCATGAACCGTGAAACAATCGTCCGATTCATCAAGTCACAGCGTCTGAGATGGGCTGGGCAAGTAGAGAGGATGGGCAAAAACAGGGCACCCAAGATAATGACCGACTGGAAGCCGCAGCAAAAGAGACCTAGAGGAAGGCCGAGAAAGAGATGGTGCGACTGCATCGAAGATGTTCTCAAGGCTCTGAAATGTTTTACGAACTGGAGAAGGACAGCCAAGGATCGTCGCGCATGGCAGTCTATTGTGAAAGAGGCCAAGACCCACAAAGGGTTGTAGCGCCGAAGAAAGTAAGTTATAAGTCCTATTTATATATAATGTTAACAAAACTGACAGAATCCTTATTTCAAAATTTTTGGCTTAAAGAGTAATCATCGTTTTAAATGTCCTTTTTTAAATTATACCTAAAAACTCGGATTATTTATGTATTTAAAAGATTATTAAACAATTTTTATAGTAATAACTATAATAGGTTAGTAATATAATTATTATTGATTATTATACTCTCTTTAGTAACATATAATAGAACTTATTAAAGAGAGACTTAAGTTGAAATCGAACCCGAAAAATTTTATTTTAATCACAAAACATACTAAGTAATACTATTTCTTTCAATCTTTATAATACTAAAGGCTATAAAATATATTAAACCCAGTGAACCTGGGCTCAGTAGTTCATGACATTATTCTGTCTAAATAAAATTTATGATTCCGTATTGTGTTCTATTTAATGCTCAATAACGTTAATATTCTAAATAATGTACAGTTCTATAAAATTGTATGGTCTAATTAAGTTGTTCATAAGAGCATGGGAATCATTGTACTATAATCAATATTTAAGGAAATGTAAAGACCCCGTGTTCAAACATTTTAAGCAACGTGTCTCTTCTATACGAGTGACAGGGTGCAGTAATAGGTTCATTAAGGTTTTGCAGCAACTACACATATAGTGCTAATTTGTTTTATATACGTTAAATCCAAGCCGTGACATTCTCAAGGCCCTAGGAAGTTTATTTGGGGTTCTCAGGGTTAATTTTATTTGTGATATTTATTTTTGTCGATAATTTTTAATGCTCATAAATTATTTTGCAAAGTATTATAAACATAGAAACGAATAAGCTAAGATAAATCTGTCTTTAACAATCTTATATGTATAATATTTGTTGTTTTGATTACATAAAATAAATAGAAAAATATGAGACTTTTATCATAAAGAGTTAAAAAGCGGTGCACATTTTAGAGAAATTTAAAATCTCGTCCTAACTGTATTTATGTTTAAAATTGTATTTAAATCGTGACATCTCTTCGCTACCTTCTAAGTTTTTCACAACAAAAATATAAAAAAGCACTGTTAGACTAATACCTAAATTGAAACTTAAATACCACAATGTAAGATAAAAAATTCATTTGAAGAGCAGAATACGAAACCGAAACCTCAGGTATGTTCACAATTTAAGAATGTTATTATGTTGACAAATTAAGAAGGAAGTATACATGCACACATACAAAAATAATAATAACAAGGACACTAAAATGCATATTTTTATGATCCCTAAAGTGACCAATATGTAGACGCTTCAAGCGATGGGAACTAGCAGGCAACGCCACTTGATACTGGAAACTATTTCTACAAGTGCGTTGTTAAGCTTAAGTTATATAGGAAAATGGTACGGAGTTATGGCATCACACTAAAATTGGACGATTTATATTATATTTTGGAAAGAAAAAAATAAAAATTAATTTAGCTATTCAGACAAATTCAATATGTTTTATGTCTTTAATTTTATTTCGCTTACTTTCATTTTACCTCTAAGCATAATAACTATTACCAGGATTTGCTAAAGTTTTTATAGTTTTATTTCTTGAATAAAAATGGTAATATATTAGGAATTATAATTCTGTGGTAAATAAATGATCTTTAATAAAAACCCTGAAACAAAAACTCAATAAAATGGATTATTCTCTTTAGACATTGAAGTGTTAAGAATATTTTTCTTATGATTTTCATTTTTTAGATCCTGAACTAATGTAATATGAGATTTTTTTATTAAAATTGTTAAAATTCCGCTTTATGTCACAGTTAGATACTACATACTTTGAAAAAGAAGAATTTTCGGTTAACATTGTTTAACTATCTATCTTCACGTTTATTAAATGAGATATACATAATTTTATGCAATAAAGTAATACAGTTTACTTAAACATCATTAAAGGTAAAACAAATTAATTAAATTAACAAACATTGAGAAAACTCTTAAAATATATGGTTAATATATCAATAATTCAAACCAGTATGTATAAAGTGAGTAAAATAGTGCATGCAATAAAAGAAATACATGAAAACATTTGCATACCTAAACTTAATTACTTCTAACTCTCGCAGGTGCTCGGGCGGATTTGAGAGTCGAAGTTAAATATGTCTGACTTAATTACTTATGACTATTTAGTACTCTGGTTCCAATGCCTTGCGTAAAATAAACACACTATACTGTACAAGTTTCATGTCATTAATGCTATGTACAGACAGTAATAACTTTCATAAATTCGACTTCCAATTCTAATCATTTTCGTCAGTTTTTTCTTTCTGTTATTTTTATTTGTTATATTTCTTCAAGTTTCTCTGTGTTGTCAGTGTTTAAAATTATTTTTCTTATATAGCCAAGAACTAGTCTATCCATATTAATAACTTGTATTAGTCCCTTAAATGATTTGTCCACTATAAGTAATCTGTACAATATAGATCCCTTTGAATTTGTATTTTAATAATTTATTTAAAATAATTGTTGTTTGTTTAAAGTACGCGAGCAATATGTTTTTCTATTTTTTTGTTATCAAAACTAGTACACTTTTATATATTAAATACATATTTTAAAATGTAAAAAAAATATAAATGTGAAAGTTGGCAAACGAGTAGACTTACTTGATTGGCAGTAGTCACCATCGCTCATGGACAAAAAATGGTAAATGCAAATCGTACTTATTTCATTATTTTAAATTAAGGAGAGGTTGTGAAACAAAACTATTTATTAAAATTATATATACGATTTTTTTAAAGCAGAAATTCTGATACCTAATAAAACATTGGTGGTCACTGTAATTTCTCCCCAAATACTAAAGAAACAAAAATGTATATATATCCTATCATAATTTTCTTCATTCTCAGAACACGTCTAACGATAATTTTCCTTTATTATTCATCATAGCATCCATACAAAGTAAACAGTTCGTTATTTTTCTGCAAGTAATAGAATAATCTAATTGAGATACAGAATAATTTTATTACATGAACTACGTACACGCAAAAAAATATTGGTATTCGTATTATTATTTACAATAATAATTACAGAATATTACAATGATGTAGTTGATAAGACTTAAAAAAGTCATAATTCATAAAAAATATTCTTGATGATTCGTCTACAAGGCGTAGAGAAAAAAAAAGTTAAAAATCTGCATGTGTATTTAAACTACGTAAAAACTTCTATTTATTTAAGCTTTTTCCTTTTGCTGTGGAAATATATATATGTTCTTTTGTACTCAGGATATTGAAACTATATAAAGTTTTTATTTTAAACAACTTGAATATAAAAGAAGACGAATAATTATTATTATTAGTGGAGGTGATATCCATCCAAAGATACTTCGAATTAATCATATCAACTAAAGATTAAGAATAAATTAGAAATATTTATACATGGTGCAATGTTTTTTTTGTAATGAAAACTATAGACGGAAATTATATTTTCCAATACATAATAATCTCGTAAATATTTCGAGTAACTATATTATTTTAAGTGTAATTATTATCAATGAATTACTGCCGTATTATTATCTTAACCTCATTATTATCTATTATCTTAATCCGATGATGGTCGAACAATGTTTGATTTCGTTCGAGGGTCAGTTTCAGTTTTGCTTTTTTATGTTGAGCGTTACTTCCATTTATGTCCTAAAATGGCTGAAGTCAGTATTTATAGTTTCCAAATACATGTTGATACGCAGGTGGTTATGTACACCTATGTACTAATTTTAACCATTCTTAATTATGTAAATACCTTCTTCACTTCGTTATGGATTAACTGATTAATTTCTGCGTCTTTCCTCATAATAATTTGCCTCATATATTATTTTAGATAAAGAGCAAAAATCATACTTCCATAAAAACCTCTGACTAACCTCACTGGAACTAATTGAATAAATTAACGCTGTGATTTATTCATGTCAACATATTGTCTGAGAAATTTTCTTTATGTACTATTTGGAGTAAGAAAACCTCAATATAGAATCTGTATTATATATAAAGCGACAAATATACTTAACATAATTTTGTATACAGTGTAAAGAGCATTAGTGATCGTAGTGTCAGTGTGTTGGGATTCATTAATAAGGATTGCATGCTAGTGAGAAGTTAAGTTTGATTAAATGTTCAATGTTTTAAAATAAAATTTACATCTTAAAATGTGTGAAACATTGTACAAGAATTTATTTGTTTCAATTATTTTCACATCCAATCCTACAATAAAAATCTTATAAGAAGACTACACACTGTTATAACAATTTATTATCATCCACGACGAAATATGCATAGTTCATTGTTAGCATCTTTGGTTATGCTTGTGAGTGAGTGTGCCTTATCTACGCTGAAAATTCAATGACTATGTTTAAAGCCTGCAACAATGTTGCATGTAAGCTGTTTCGATCCAGAATGAACAACAAACTCATATACACACACTTGGCTTCAAGTATCTATTCTTTAGACAAACACATTTTAAACTTTACGATCTATGCTCTAAATACTCTTGTTTCTTGCATGCTGAATAGACTACAATGTTGATTATTTTCCTGTTCACTTTTTATGTAAATTGAAATTTGAATGGTTAATACATATGAATACTGTTTAGTCCTTATTGAAAAAATAACGACAAATTTCGAAGTAACGATTACTAAACTGGGTTCAAATTCAATTTGCATCTATATAAATAATTGACTTATGAATACGTTCATCGTGTTTATTTAATTGCATACCTATCTATCAAAAATATAGTCTTAGAGTTATGTGGTACATCTGAGTAAGGTATTTGTAAGTTATGCTATGCATAACCGAAAACTATAACTCAATTCACACCAACAAGCCTAAGAGCTCCATTCATCTGTAAGTTCTCAGCATTTCACATTGTAGATAGCGTCACCAGTTAATAACAATTTATTAAGCTCAATTCATTTGTAAATTTCACTTAAAATATTTAACGTTTCATTATAACAATGAACGTTTAAATGTTTATGAGACTATCAGAAACAGCCTTAAATGTTAAAATTACCGTTACTTTATTCTCAATTTGATGGATCCAGAACATTGTTTATGATCGTAATAAAATCGAAGATAAAATCATATTGAATTGTTAAAATTATATTGAATGTTCTCCAATTGTTTATTTATTATTGTTAAAATAGCCGTCCAACTTAACTGGACGTTTTACATCCTAATAAAGTTGTATAAATTAGAATGTAAACGTAAACTATAAAAGCTTTTGAAGAATTTAACTAACGTATTGTAGACCTCGTGAAAGAAAAACAATCCTTATAATACTTGGACTGCAACTATTAAAGCAATCTTGTTTGTAGATAGCCTTATTTGAAAAGACAACTGATTACAATTGGCTAATCAGAAACAGAATTGAGACAACGGAAACGAGTTTATTACAAAAATAACAATTTATTACAGGACTAATCTTTGTAATATCTATATTTCTGTCATTTTTATTTTACTAATGTTCCTTTTTAAAAAGCAGTGTTGTCGTTACAAACACGTATGTCTCCACAGACTTATCCGAATATAATTTGTTGAATTGATCAATATATAACATGTTCAATATATATAGGCATTTAAATAAACTGAATATTTTTCTATAATATTTATGAGGCTTCTATCAAGAGAAACAAAATTTTCGAATGATCTTATAGTACTATTGTTCAATAAATAGTTTTTTATCTTAACCCCTTAAGATATTAATTTGAATTGGCCACAATTCTTCATACCACATTTATAGGACTGTACATTATAGTAGGTGAATTTATATTAACATCGAATTAAAAAAACAAATTAAATGTTTCTCTGCAGAAACGAAATCCTCTGAGTTTTTTTATGATAATATAAACAGGAAAAGGAAGGGCAACAATTGACTCAATACCGTTTTCAATGTATTGACCGAGGGATCTTAATTCTAATTAATGTATTATTCTTACGAAATTACTCATTCAATACATTATTGCTCGCCAAATTTTCGTGGGAAATATTCTTAAATATACTTAAGTACTCCAAATATTTTAACTAAACAATTATTTTGACCTAGCTAAATAAACAACAAAAAATATCGAAATGAAATCAATGTAATTTATCAAGATTAATTGGGATTTTGAAAAAAAAAAAGTATTGATTTTTTTTATGTATTTTAAAACTTTATTATTAATTATATCTATTTTTAATGCAAAAAACTTGAAAACATTTTTTTTAAATTAATTATAAACAATTAAAAATTTATAAAATTCAAAAACAAATCACGTGACTGTAAACGCGCCATGATTGGTCGGCATACTTGTGACGTCATAATGTTAAAGCAATTTCATAATAGTACAGTGTTTATGGCTATTATTTTTGACTTGATAAAAATATCTCAAATTTATTAGTGAAAAACGATTTGAAAAGTTTATTTCGACTAACTATGTGTGATAAAGGATTTATAAAAGCAAAATCGGATAATATTCCTGATTTTGATATATTTATAACTAATTTTTTTAAAAATGACGTCCGGTTTAATTCTGCTGAAGTTCGAGGTGCTAAGGCATCAAGGTAAATCTGTTAAAAATACCATTCTAAATGAAAATAAGTATTTATTTTCCATTAAATATAATTAATAATTATTTCATTAATTGTAGAGCATCACGTGAGAGTTACGGTGATAAAGCTATAGGTTATGGTCAACTTAATCGTAAGAATGGTATTTGTGTTTTAAAAGGACGTGTGTGTCCA